GTCGATTGTGTTAAATGGTTCGTCAGCGAGAGTAAAGCAATCACTCTATGACGTATTAGTCACCGCCATTTCAAAAAAAAAAAAAAAAAACGGATGCATTTGCGATTTGCCGCCCTGTCCGAAAAAAAACGGATGCACCACTGATTTCCCCTAAAAAATGCATACCGCAAAAAAAAAAACAAAAAAAAACGGTGCGTAGGGAATGAAAGGCCATTCTGAAAGAGTGTGTTAAAAACTACTTCCACTTTACTTTGGAAGTTCATTGTATTTATAGTATGTTCCTTAAAGTACATTGCACCCGGTGTACTTACTACTTTACTTGAAGTACATAACCTGTCATGTACTTTGAACGTTCAAGTAGTTTTAAGACATACTTTACGCAACACTGTAAGCAATCAACCAATGTCTGCAAAATCAAGCTCAGGCAGTGCTGAACCTCAAAGGTGCAATGATGCATCCGCAGAACATCCTTGACCAAAAAGAAGTACACAACAATTAGGCACGCAGAAGCAGAACCAGCAATTAAAGCATTTCTGTCAAAACACTAGCCGCTTTATATTCGGCTAGCAGAATTTCGCTCACTCATCAAAACCTACGTAAGTACCTCCTTCTTAGCATAGAAAAAAAAAAGTAACTTCAAAATTAATTCGCTACTTTTTAAGGTAATTAGTAATTTACTTAATTACTTTTCATTTGAATAATTTCCACTCTCCTCAAATTATTTTGAGGCTAATACTCAGTAACTTAACTTAATTACTTTTTATAGTAGCTTGTACATGTCTGCTGCCAGCCCGCCACCACATATGAAAAAAACAGACAAATAAATGTACAGAATATGCACGCTACAGGAAGTATGTAAAAAGGAAAGAAACCAAGCGAGAAAACATGTATCACAATATGACGAGGATGCCAGATGCATCCCATACATTCTGGCAAGCTCTCCTGACTCTGCCCCGTTTGTCGGCAGTGGGCTGCGCACACTGATCGTAATTGTCAGTTGTCAGTCAATCTTTCAACTACCTCGTTTCATTAATGGAGAGGTCAAATCAAAATCACGTTATCCAGAATGCACCACATCATTTTTCGCTTGCGCAGTGGACTAAGTAAATTACTGGTCGACCTTCTGTTCTTGAGGCAGAACATACTGAAGAGAACCACACTTGCAAAAGCTTGCGCACAGTTACCGTGTCGCCTACTCCACACCTCGCCGCAACCGATCTTCGTAACTGCGCGACTGCGCGGCGTCCATTTGCGATTCACGGCCCCGTCGCGGTCGTGCGCGTGCGCAGACATTTGGCAAATTTTTGCCGAATCTTTGCCGAACTTTCCTTGAAAATATTGGCATGTGCGGAACTTTGCCGAATCTGGAGTTCGGCAGATTCGGTCCATCACTAACTTTTACGGCGTGTGCGCGTGTAGGCGTTGTAAAAGAGTGTGTGGGGGGGGGGAGGGGGGGGGGAGGGGAGGAGAGGGCCAATTGTGTATGCGCACCGGGTGCGTTCCTTACTGGCTATTTTTACGGCGCAGGCGATAGACCCCCTACCAACGACGCTCACGCCGGAATGGCTGCTCGGCAACGCGCGGGAACTTAAAATTTCGGATTCAGACGGCGCGTGTATCACTCGAAGCGCGATAACCCACCCCCGCGCCTGCGGTCACGCAGCTTCGCGGCGACAGTGTGCGGCTGCTAATTACAAATCTATTAATCCACTTCGCACCCCCCCTTCCTCCGTACACGCCGCTTTGCGGCGTCCAGTCGGCAACCCAAGCCCCGCTGTCCCCATGCACTTCCGTAAATAGAGTCCCATACGATTTAGTTCAGCGATGTTTCGTCAACAACATTCGTTTTTTTTTTTTTCTTTAGTGTTAATGGTAAAAAAAAATGTCGTGAATATCGCCGAATGCCTCGACATAACAAAATGTTCGAGGAAAAAAAAAATAAAAACAAGTAAGCCCACACCATAAATAGAACCCGGGTCTGATACGTATGATGCAGACATCTCACCACTAAGTTATGCTACCTCTTCGGAAACTCGCATTGCATCCGCTGCCTATGTTGACGGCGGCAGCACCTATCTCCAAGCAAGCAAGCAAAACTTTATTTTGTGAAAGGGCCTACGTCCTGGCGGATGGATTCCGCAAGGGGACCGTGGAGCCTTGTTCGTATACACCTTTTCATTTCCGTAGTTCTCGGACCGGCCCACAGGGGCGCTGGCGCTGCAGCCGCCATAAGGTTGCTTCAAATCGGCGTGGTTGCTGCTGTTGCGCTGTGGGGTTGTGTGGAGAGCATTCCGTTTCAGCGCCTTTTCCCGGCCTCTAACAGCACATGAGTGCCATAGGAAAGAAACAAAGCTCGTACCGGGCCGGTAAGACATGTTCCGTCGTAGGCTGCAAAAATTGCGGAGGTTTTTTGAAGGCGTGGAACGCCTCCACGTGCGAACTACATGCGCCGCTGCTACCTGAAGACTGCCCGTGCCTGCAGCCGTGTGCCTTGTACTGCTTTCCCCAAGGCGAGAAAAACGAGGAAACTCGACGTAAGTGGGTCGCAAACCTGCAGCGGAAAAATCTGAACCCCAGCAAGCACGCAAAGGTTAGTACGGCTCGTGTTAACGGACTTTGCCCGACGCCGCGGCCGCCGCTTCCGTAGACGGACCCTGCTCTTGGGGGCGGGGTCGAAACAGGCAAACAGACTTTAAATGAACCCGTAGCCATCTCATGGGGGATCATGTTCCTAATTATTTTAAGACATCGCTGGTTCGGGAGGTATTGGTAGCCGGTACAGAACGCGCGTGCACACGAACGCCAGCACGAGCCTCTCGCTCGTGAATTAAAGACCTAGAATCGTGAAGAGATTATTTGCGAATTTCCCAATCACCCTGGGGATCTCTCAAACAATACTGCTGCAAAAGCCAACGCGCGTACCTAGTACAATCCCCGCATGCGCCTCGATTCGATTTTCAAAGTTTGTATATGCTTGATGTTGTGAACGCCTTTGATTTAACCTCTGTCAACATCTTCCACAAATAGGTCAGGTGTAAACAGTACATTGATAATAGCATAACTTACCTATCCACCATGCTAACATTAATGCTTGGACGGTACGCTCATATTATAACTGATATATGTTCACATCAACAGGTTTGCTCCATTCACTTCGTTGACGGTAGGCCGACTGAGACAAATCCATACCCGACATTGAACTTGAGGACTTCAAATGAGGTAAGCTCCGGTGACAATTGACTTTTGGAGTCATATGGACACACTACTTCCTTTTAAAGCATGCCATCAAAAGTCGCTTAATGAAAAATATTAGGGCTCAACTATTTCACAGGTACAGTGGATCAGTACTGTAAAACATGCTTGAGGTATGAAACATTGTACTGTATGAATTATGTCTATCTACAAATAAATTACCATTCAGAGCACCAGGATTTGCCACTTGGTAAAACAAAGCGTGCATGTGCAAATTGCAGACATTTGAGTGTGGGGGTGCTGGAAACACTTTAAATCTTGGCAAAACAATTTGATGCATAAAAGCAGGCACCGACGAGGCAGAATGTGGACATAGGCAGCACTGATCTTTTCACTGCCTGTATTCCATTTTTCTCCCCAGTCCAAGCTTAAGTGTGGTTCTTCACATTTCTGTGTGGATATAACTGTTCCAACATCATTCGCATCTTTTATTTGAAGGTCGCAAAAAACAGGGGGAGGCGCAAGCAACCCCGGCGCCCACTCTCAGGACATGCAGCACTGGCTACACCCGCTGGTGTGCACTCAAGCAGCGCGCTGTCCAACTTGCCGCCAGCTCTGCTTCAAGCTCCGCCCCAATCTCCACCTCAAGCTCCACCGTCTTTGGTTGTGGATTGTGGTGCCCCTCAAGGGGAGGATATTGACGTACATGAACTATCACCAAGCTCAACTCTTGCCCCCCAATGCACTTGCAGTAGGGGCATCCGGAAGGTAGAAGTTGGTATACAGTGCGAAGTTGGACAGCAGAAGGACCATTCGTACTGTACACCAATCTCCCCTGTTGTTGTGACCAGAGCTACACGTGCCACACAAACGGCATTTTCAGTTTGTGACACTTTGCCTGCTGAAAAATTCCGGTTTTTCACAGGTCTATCAAAAGTACTGTTTGAAGAATACACCAGAGTTGCGTCGTCAGAGGCAAAAATGACTTGTAAGCTTGCAGTGAATGACCAGATTTTACTTACTCTCATAAGGCTTAGGTTAGGGTTGTTGCTCGTAGATCTCGCATTCCGCTTCCAGGTCTCTGTAGGTTTGGCAAGCAAGATTTTCAAGTTTTGGATTCAAGTACTTGCAGATATTTCGCGCAAGTACCTGGTTATGTGGCTACCACAAGAGACGATAGCCTCAACACGTCCGTCAGTGTTCGCAGATTTCCCACGTACAACATGCATAATCGACTGTTTCGAAATATTTGTTGACAGGGCACAAAACATGCTAAAGAGAGGGCGGACGTACAGCCCCTACAAAAGTCACAATACAGCCAAAGTTCTCCATGTGATCGCACCAAATGGCTTTATAATGTTTATCTCAAAAGCCTTTGGAGGCCGTGCAAGTGACCGGTTCATAACCTCAGACTCTAGGCTGCTGAGATATCTTCTGCCAGGGGATCAAATCTTAGCAGATAAAGGCTTTACCATTGAAGACATGCTGCCTTATGGATTTAAACTGTCACTTCCTTCATTCAGAAAGCAGAAAAAGCAGCTCTCGGATGCTGAAGTGGTTTACTCGCGTCGCTTGTCTAAACTGCGCATTCATGTAGAAAGGTCCATTCGCCGCGTGAAGTGTTTTCGGTTTTTGAAGTATATACCCTCGTCAATCTTTGCAAGAAGCAATTGTATTGACAACACCTTGACTGTCATCGCAGGGATCTGCAATCTGCAGCCATCGCTTATTCAGGAAGACTGAAATAAATGTCATTCGTAAGCAGTGGTCCTTCTGGTGAATGTTTACTTTTTTGAAACTTTGGCATTTCAGAAACCTGCATGCTCGTCAACAGGTGCCGGCAGGTAGTGTTCAAAATAAAGTGATTTCAGTTTTGGGAGCAAGCTCTCAATGAAGGCCTTGTTATATGGCACTTTGGCAATGTAGCCCTTCTTCTCTGCAAATACCTCAAAGTTACATGAGTGTTGCCCAGAGCAGTACAGCTGTAGCTGCACTTGTGTGTAATATGCATTCTTCCCCTTGGGCGAGAGTATAAGATCTGGGCCATCATACCTAACGTCATACTTGCCAGATGCAAAAAGGCACTCTAGAGAGCCATACTTTTTTAGAGTGTCTGGTGTCGGGCATTTGATCTCAACTAGCACGTTGCCAGCTGCTTTCAGGCCATCTGGGCTGGCCGCCAGCCATGGGTTTCCTTCGTGGACGGTCAAGCCACAGAGCCGTAGCACGCAGTCCTGGTCCTCTTCATACCAGGCCCTGGCTTTCGGCTCGGTTTTCTTGCCATGTCTGCCAACACATAACACAAAACAGTAAATTTATCAGCACCACTGCTTACGCTCTCTGCACTTTTCGACGCCAAGCTGACAGGGCAACGAAAGCAACACGGTCGCTGAACTAATCGATTGCCTTCTTTTGAAGGCTTGACATTGCTCCCTGCGCGTGAGTATGCGTAGACACAATGCAAAACCATTGGCTAACTGGTCCAACAAGCACGTAACTTCCATTAGCACAGCAGTGAACGAAGTAAAGCAGCGAATCGATTATTAGGACATGCTTGCTTATTCTGATACTGGCATGTAGCCGTCCGTGGCCTGGGACCTGTTCAGACTGCTCAATTATCCACTTACTTCGAATCGTATTAAAGTCCGAAAAGTCAGATGGCTACTTTATAACGCGTATCATGTTGTAAAAATCTTTCTTATTGACACCTTGAAGCATTCTTCATGCTGAAGTAATCAGTTTTAGTGCCTGCACCCAAGCATTCTGCACTCCCATGCCCAATGCATCTACAATGTTTTTTTTTCTTTTATGAATTCTTCCACCACCACATTAGCCTAGCAGCGAACGAAGTAAAGCAGTGAATTCATTTTTCGGACATGCTTGCTTTGCTTATTCTAATATTGGCATGTAGCCGTCGGTAACATTGAGGCCCGTTCAGACTGCCCAATTATTCACTTATTTCGAATCGCATCAAGGTCCGAAAAGTCGGACGGCTACTTTGTAACGGGCATCATGTTGTAAAAACCTTTTTCACGGACACTTTGAAGTGTTCTTCATGCTGAAGTAATCGGTTTTAGTTCCTGTACCCAAGCATTCTGCACTCCCATGCCAAGTGCATTTGAAATCAAAGTCAAATTTGGGAGTTTTACGTGCCAAACCAACGACGGGCATCTGGCATGCCTCAGCGGAGGACTGAGGATTAATTCCGACCACCTGAGGATCTTTTGACGTGCAACCGAAAGCTCGGTTACACGGCGCCTTCTCCGCAATTAGCCTCCGTCAGATTGCGAGCATCTCGGCCGGAATTCGAACCCGCCATATGGGGATCCGTAGGCCAGCGCTCTCGCCTCGGCCCAACTGCATTTGAGATGATTTTAGTTTCTTTTATGAATCCTTGACATGTATTGATTTCTCATGGTTTTGCTAGTTACGAGGGCTGATCATTTAATTCTGGGACTGATTTTCTTTCGGGGAAGCTATAACTCGCAGTAAAGTGGCAACAAGGCAGCACAGATGACAACTCTGTGTTGCCTGCATAACCGGAAGCCGTCATCTCCCCACATTTTCTCTGCAGAACCCTGTAAGTGAATGGCTACCTGCAGTGTGCGTAGCACTTCAAGGAAGAGAAAGCTAAGCAGCGTGTGCGCATCAATTTCTGTTTCCGCCTCGGGAAAACTGGTGCTGAATAGTATGAAATGTTGCAAGCAGCTTTAGGAGAGTCCTGCCAAATTCGATCAATGTGGCGATGCAGGCGAGTTGGTTCACGATTTCAAACTGTTAGCAGCGCGCAAACAAACGGAGACACAGGGGAGAAATGGACAGGACTAGCGCTCAACTTCAACTGAATGTTTAATGAAAATAAAACACCAAGCTAAACAACCAGACCGTCAGTGCATCAGCATGTGCTGATGCAGTGATGGTCTGGTGGTCTGACACAGACAGCATCAACTGACTGTTCCGTTTGGTGTTCATGCGGTTATATGAGTGCAGCTGTTGCAGCATGTCGAAAGCATATGATTCAGCAAAAGTGTTGTAAGCTGGGAAAGTTGCTATGATGACATGGTGAACAGAACAGCACACAAAAAGACAAGGACAGAGAGAAGGAACTTGCTCAACACATAAGCGTTGACTCAACTGAATTTATGCACAAAGGGAAGAAGAGGACGTTCTGAAAGGCATGCAGGGCACACAATGCGTGTCACACGCGAAACAACACCATTTAACTACAATGTCTTTACCCCGTAGCCCGATCTAAAAACATTTGAACGTAAAAAGTCTTTTCAACAGAAATCTCTCTGGTTAGGAAAATAATAGTCTGACTGATATTCGGACTCTAACCAAATTTTAATAAAAAGAAACGAAAATTCCCCAATGTTTCGGGACCAGCTCGGTTCCTTGGTCCCGGGTGACTGTGGGTTGGACAGAGGGGAAAGCCACTTATGTTGGCCAGTTGAGATTTCTGCGTCGGGGTTTTTCCACGAAGCGACGAAGCCCTGACACAGACGCTTGGGAGACTGCCCGACAACCTGTTGATGTTACCTTTTGTTGTCTGGATGTACTAGGATTCTAGGAGAAAACGTTCACGCCAGTGTCGTTCCGTGCCCAAGATCTCGCATTTGTCGAAGGACATGCGGAGACCCAGTTTCGTTGCGTGTTCAGCAAGGGCACTGGCTTGAACGTCGTTCTTCTTCACATCTTATTCGTGGCGGCAGAAGCGTTCAGGGATGTTCTTGGTATCCCCCGTGTAGGTTGCAGGTCATTCCGCGCACGAGATGCGCTAGATGAGGCCTTGATATTTCTCCTTTCCCGGTCTGTCCTTGGGGAAGGGAAGTCGTTCACGGATGGTGGACACTGGTTTGTGAGTGACCGCAATTCCATGTTTACGAAGGACGCGTCCGATGGTCTCGTTAACGTTCCTCACGTATGGCAGGCACAGACTGCTCGAAGGAGCCAAGGCTGTGGAGAGGCGGGGACGGCGCAGCTTCTTATAGACTCGATTAATCAACCTTTTGGTGTAGCCTTTGTTTTGAAGGTCGACCTTGATCTTGTTGACCTTTTCTCGGAGAGACTTCACCGTCGAGCACACGGACATGGCATGTCTGAACAGCGCAGTGACCACCGACATTTTGTGGGTTGTGGGATGGTAAGAGTCAAAGTTCATGTACCTTCCGGTGAGCGTAGGCTTCCTGTACACCGAGAAGGTAAGTTTGTCTAAAGTCTTCTTTACACTGATGTCCAGAAACGTGTATTGAGAAGCAAGCCCTTGCTTTGTTCATGCCAAAGCCGAAGATCTTCCTTCGTTATGTAGACGATTGTTTTGCTTCGTTAAAAAGACCGAAATCGATTGTCTTTGCCAACACCTAAATCTGGTCGAACCTGCTATTCAGTTCACGGTGGAATGCAAGAAAAATGGTGGGCTTCCGTTTATAGACATCAGTGTAAAGAAGACTTCGGACAAGCTTGCCTTTTCAGTGTACAGGAACCTTAGCACATTCTAAGGTGCCTGAACTTTGACTATCACCCAAAAGATGTCGGTGGTCACTACGCTGTTCAGACGTGCCATGTCTGTGTGCTCGACAGAGGAGTCTCTCTGGAAAAAGGTCAACAAGATCAATGCCGACCTTCCAAACAACGGCTACTTCAAAAGGTTCATTAATCGGGTCTACAAGCTGCGCCGTCCCCACCTCTTCACGGTCCCAGCTCCTTCGAGTCATCTGTGCCTGCCATACGTGAGGAACGTCAGCCAGACCATCGGACACGTCCTTAGTAAACATGGAATTGCAGTCACTCACAAACCAGTGTCCACCATCCGTCACCGACTTCTCCTCCCCAAGGACAGACCGGGAAAGGAGAAATCCCAAGGCCTCATCTATCGCATCCGGTGCGTGTACTACCCTGCAGCCTACGTGAGGGAACCCAAGAACTTCCCGGAATGCTTCCGCCGCCACAAATACGACGTGAAGAAGAATGACGTTCAAGCCAGCGCCCTCGCTGAACACATTGCGAAACTGGGTCACCGTGTGTCCATCGACAAAAGCGAGGTCTAGGGTGCGGAACGACACCGGCGTAAACGTTCGCACTTAGAATCCTGGTACATCTTGACAACAAAAGGTAACATCAATAGGTTGTCGGGCAGTCTCCTCAGCAAATATGTGTCGGGGGCTTCGTCGCTTCGTGGAAAAACCCGGACGCACCGATCGCAACCGGCCTACATAAGCGGCTTCCCCCCTTCCATTCAACTCAAAGTCGCCAGTGACCAAGGGGCCAAGCTGGTCCCGAAACGTCGGGGAATTTTTTTTTTTTTTATTAAACTTTGGTTAGAGTTTCGAATTTAAGTCAGTCGATCTAAAAACAATGTTTCGGTTCGGTTTGATAGTCTGATCTAAAAACAAGGTTTCGGTTTAAAAACAAACCAAAACCTTGTTTTTAGATCGGACTATGGGGCAAACACATTGTAGTTAAATGGTGTTGTGTCGCGTGTGACACGCACTGTGTGCCATGCAAGTCTTTCAGAACGTCCTCTTCTTCTTTCTTTTGTGTATAAATTCAGTTGCGAGTCAGTGCTTTTGTGTTATGCATGTTCCTTACTCCCTGTCCTTGTCTTTTTGTGCGCTGTTCTGTTCACATGATTCAGCGTTTTGCTGCTCTGAGAGTACTCGAATAATCCATGTCAGCACCAACATAAACCTGAATACATGCCTTGTGTTCTCGTTCCCACGAAAGGTATTGTTCAGACGTTTTCGTGCAGTCTGCCACTGGCTGCTGTCCTGGCCCCGGGTCTGCTCCTCCAGCGAAGCTATCGCTGCTGCCGTTAGTGCCGCGTTGGCGTCGTAGAAGCTCTTGCATGGGCCACAGATGAGCTCGCCGGAGTGGCAACCATGGGACTGGGGGCCTGAAAAGTTGTTCACACACAAGGCATCAAGGAATGAAAGGAAGAAATTAAATTGTTTGGCATTACCTCTCACAACTTGAAGGGGAGCATTCTTCAGTTGGGCGCCCATCACAGATGCCAGGATGGTCCCCTCTATGTTCCTGAAGCCAGAGCGCTTGATATGTTCTTGGAGTGCCCTATGACTGTCAAATTGGGGGAACCCAGCCTTGCCTGACTTGAGTCCGTAGATGACCTCCAAGGGTGCGGGTACCACGTTCTTTGCAGTGGAAGCGTTCCACTTGCACTGTACATCGGTGCATGCTGACCCAGTCAGCCCTCTACTTGATGCTTCTGCAACCTTGAACAGAAGTGCTGCTGCGTGTGAGCACGACTGCCCTTGCCCAGCCATACAGGAGCAGACGATGCTTGTGATCACATTGTCTGTGAAGGTGACCTGTGTCTCGTACAGTTTAGACACTGTCTGTGACGACCTGACTTGGGATTGAAGTTCACAGAGTCCAGCTTCTTGACGCACGAGGATTGCTCCGACGTGGCCGGAATCCAACAAGTTCAGCGCCTCGACAAATCCCTTGAAATTCTGCGATGGCTTGCCATCAATGTCTTGCCTGGTAATCATGTACTCGTAGATAACTGTAAAAAAGGGTGTTTTAATCAAGCAGCTCAAATTCAAAGTACATTTTAAATTTTGCTAAGAAACGAAGCAAAATGAGATAAGCTTTAAGCCTCTAGGGCACTAAACCTGCAACTCGGGCGCTTGTTTCACAGGGCAGTGCATGAGAGCGTTCAAGTCTCAGAAGCATGCACCACATAAAAAATCAAAGTGCTGCATAACTCAACAAATTAATACTACATGAGGGGCACTGGAAGATGTGGCATTACGTGGATAGCATTGAAATGTGCCTATGCTCCCAGCTTCTACAGCTGTGTGCGGAACCAGTCAAATGAAGTAAACAGAACAATTGACCGCTTTTAATATACTAGCTCAGCAGGAAACTCAGTCATGCACTTAAAAGAATCTAAATTTCTTCATATCACCAAATTACTACCGTCTCGTCCAGTTAGCTATATTATTACCCTTCCTTAAATTTCACGCGTGGCTTCGCGGAGCAACACCACTAGACAGTCATGTAGTGTACACAGTGCGACACAGCACGAACAAGCCGTAGCCGGATTTTTTCACTTCACTTTGACGAATGAACAGCTACCGCCGAAAATTGTCAAGTGATAGAAAGGGCTTATATGGGGCACCAACTTAAGCGGTAAAACTTTGCCTCCCTTGTTTCCGGGGTGAAGCAAAATTAAAAGAAAATCGTCGGCGTTGTGCCCGCGCAAGCCGTGTAGCTATGTGTACACACCGCGACACTGTCAGTGCCAACATGATACACGCTTTTTCGAATTTTACTTCGAAATGGTATTAGTGGCCACAACATTTTACCGCTTATATTAGTGCCCCAGATGAGCACTTTCGATGGCGGCAGTAGTTTTCATGACAGCGTTTCGATTCTGAGAGAAAGACAGCTAGCTGCCAGCAGAAACCAGCGATTGCTTGTTCGCGTTAACAGTGTCACGCTCTGTACGAACGCACCGCGAATGATCGATGAGCGGTAGACTTACAATTCTATTCCGCCACACACAAACGACGTTTAACACGATTACCGCTCAAATACCTACAACGCTAACTTTAAAACAGCGAGCGAGCGCCAGCGGAATACCCCACTAAGTAATGTAAACATGACCGCGAGTCCGCAGGTGATAACTCATGTACCGCTCATCGATCATTTGCGGTGCGTACGTACAGAGCGCGACGCCGTTAACTCGAACAAGCAATCGCTGGCTTTTGCTGGCTTTCTCTCAGAATCGAGACGCTACAAGCAATCGCTGGTTTTTGCTGTCTTTCTCTCAGAATCGAGACGCTGTCATGAGAGCGTCTCGATTCTGAGAAAAGACAGCAAAAACCAGCGATTGCTTGACGCGTTAACAGTGTCGCGTTGTGTACGGGCACACCGCGAATGATCGATACATTTACACTCCTATTCCGCCACACAGAAACGACGTTTGACACAATTACCGCTCAAATACCTACAACGCTGACTTTAAAACGGCGAGCGAGCGAGCGGAATACCCCAGTAAGCAATGTAAACAAGACCGAGTCCGCAGGTGATACCTCGCTATCGCGGCGTCGACCGCTCTCAGCCTATCACTGGAATGCTACCCGTTTCAGTCATGTCACACTTAACACAGTTCACATCTTTGATACTTACATGAGCGCTGAATCTTCGGCCAAAGCTTCAGTTCGTCCACCCACGGAAGGGCCATCGCGGCCGGTAATCGCGTCGCAAGAATTACCGACGACTCCGAACGCAGAAAAACGTAAAAAAAAGACTTCAAAAGCGATTCGCACAATAACAAAACACAATTATATAAAAAGAGAACGTAGGACAATGTAATTTACAGGAAAAGAAGGACGAGAAGCGTGGAAACAATGAATCTGGCAGCAGGACAACAAGGCATACGGAGGCGAGTGGAGGGGTGCGGAGCGGAAAATGAAGCAACCTTATGGCGGACGGGTCACGTGATTTAAGATGGCGGCGCCCATAGTAATTTGCGTGAAAAGGTCTATAGCAAGGCTCCACAAACCAGCCAATCTGGCGTGAGGGCCGTTGCTAGGGTTTCTATCGCCTGCGGGTTAAAAATACTTCCGCGCGGGTCGGGGGGCAGTGCCCTTGGTATTCCTTGGGCGCCGCCGGCCAGTGTTTGCCCTGCCCAGTGGCGGCCGTTTCAGGGGGAGGGGGGGGGGAAGCAAAACACATGCCTTACCCCTCTCCCCCTCCGCCCCACTCTGCGAACAGGGGGGGGCAAGGGCCCCCCTTGCCCCGGTTGGTTCACCCATGATGCAGAGTTTTGTTCTAATTACCCGCATTTTATTCTAGTGTCGTGGGGGCGTCGGGAGAAGAAGAGGACGGTCGAGCGAGGCGCGAGTGGGGGCCAGCCGGCGAGGAAAGAGGAAGAGCGTGCTGCACGAGGCTGGGGCCGGGCAGGAATAATAAAGCCGTTCTGGCTGGTCCGGCCCATGTCGATCCCCGGAGCATTCTACCAGCGAGCTTCGGATCAGGACCGGCGGAAATGGCGAGCCCTGACCTTATCGGCCTAGGCCATGACGGTCCAGGAGTAGTTCCGTAGCGAAACTCTAGCTGTGATAGCCCGGAACAGCTAGCCTACGCAGCGCGTGGGAAGGACGATCCCTAGGCGTGGACACGGAGTCCAACTGCGAGCTATGAACGACGGGCGACAACTAGGGTCGCCGGGTCCGGACTGCCCGCTATCAAAGACGGGCAACCGGGAAATACAGTAAAACCATTCGCTGCTTTCTCGTTGTTTTGAGTCCCTTCCTGGGAGACAAGCGAATCACAGACCAATCGGGCGGCGATTATTATAGAGCGACCCCGCAAGTGGTGAAGACAATTCAAACTGGTGTCCAAATGGCAACTCTACATTATGCTCTAAACACTTCGACCTATCAAGGCTCCCGATGGTCTTAAAAAAACGCATAAAAGAACCAGGGACATGGCGCGCACGAGCACACGCGGGGACTGCTGAAATCGGGCTCGCCGCCGCAGCCGCCGCTCGCTACTGCCCGACGGGCAGACTGGCCGACCCATTAACAGAGACATTTTCCGCTTGTGGCGCTGAATGCATCACTCTCGTAGCGCCGCCTGGCCATTGCCGGCTGGCTATTATGCACTTGCTCCATCTTGCCCCAAACGACACTTAAATCATGATATCGCACATTGTGAAAGACCTCACTCGGAGCTTCGATCGATCATGACACCGCCTTTGCTGCGCTTCCTGGGTGATGACTCATTTGCGAAAGGGTGAGTTGCGCGGAAAGATAAAATTGTGGGTCCTGATGAGGATCGTGAGAGTCACTTAATTTTATCGCAGCCGTGCGTGCGTTGTAGTTGAAGCAATCATAACATTATGTGCCCACTAGCACCAACTCGGCAACAGGAGCCAAAGTCCACACGAGCCTTTCTATGGAGAGAGGAGCGCTAACCGTTTGGAGCGCTTCCCCAGCTCCGACGTTGCCGCGCCGTCTCCAGGCGCGATCATTCCTTTGGCTTCTCGCCGTCTGCCGTGAAGCGAAGAGCGAACGCCGAGGAGAGACGAAAGCGAACACCCCCTCCCCCCTCCCTCCAAACCCCCTCTGCACTCCACAGCTGGTTGAGACATTGCGGAGGGCGCTTGCAAGGAGGAGCCTGCAAGAACAAGCACCCCCCCCCCCCTCTCCTCCGCCCTCTACAGGAACCGGCGCGTTTACATGTTGAAGGAGCAGGCGAGCGACACCCAAAACAACCCTGAAGGCCTGAATCCCACGCAGTAGTTGCGAACCGAAAGTCTCCTCGCCCACTAAGACGGCCCGGGAGCTCCCGTGACCAACCCAGCTAAGATAATACCAGCGCTCACCGCGACTCATCATGGCCATGGTTCCCAGACTCACGTCATCACGCAGACTAATGCGATCACCGGACTGATATCTACCCTGAGACTCACGTCTTAATTCAGGCTCATGCTCATGAGCCTCGAAACTCACAATCACACTCAGCAGACCTAAAAACTCACACTCATAAGTACTTCACTTAGCGCTCAAGCTCACACTCACACTGAAGAGTTTTCAGAAGTCACGATCACACTCACGATCAGACTCACGCTCATCAGTTCTCAGGACTCCCACTCACGCTCACACTCATGAGTTTACATAACTCAAGATCACACTCACACTCACAATTTTTCGAGACCCGCGGCCTCACTCACGATCACCTCAAATCTGACGGTGATCGTGAGTGATCGCACTCATGAGTAAGAATGCCGAGGTATGTTCCTATCTTCGAAGGCTGAAAAAAACAGAAACTTAGTTTCAGGTTTTGTCGGTTTATTTGCATACATATAATTAAGCACTGTAAAATTTTGTAAAAAAAAATGGCGTAATTCATAGTCCTGAAAACATCTAAAAAAAACTGATTTAAGAACCAAAGAAAAATTACAGTCGTCAAAGCTGCACAAAAAGTCAAGTTGATGTTGCTTTTTCTTACTTCAAAAGTCCGATTAAAATTATGATCTTAAAATCAGTGCGATTAAAAGTATGATCTAAGTCCTAATAATGATCGTGATTTAAATTACCTTTATTTTATTTCCATCCTGCATAAAGAGGGTGAAAAAATCATCAGTGTTATAAATATTCAACTGAGGCAACAACAGGTATATTAATACAAGCATATCGACCTTCGAGGTATTTTTGCAATAGTCCTCAAAACGGCGTTTCTAAACAGCTTCTGTCGTTTTATGAAACCGAGGAATGGGTAAATCAATGAATACATAAATAAACCTACCAGGTTATTCAAGGTGGCCATGATAAAGCGGAAACCATAGAAATAAAAACAAATTGAAAAATAAACGAACGTTTTGAGAAAAACACCTTCTTGCAAAACATTATGGACGTTATTCGTAAATATGTTACAGAGAACCTCTAAATGTGTCCCCTCTGAGCGATCAATTCTTTGATGAGGGTGGCGTGAATGAAGTAATTTGAGCCCCAGCAGTGCTATATGCCTGGATTACTCCGGGTGAGCTTTAGGCAAAGCCAAAGTAGCCCTTCGTAATGTTAAGCTAGAGAAAAGCATCTCGTAGCAGTCGACGCGATAAGGGTAACTTCTAAAATAAAATAGCGGCCTCGATGCAAGCAATTGTGATTATAAGTTTTAGGTGGGCCACCAGAGATGGGTATCTTTTATTCGGTGAAAAGAATAAATCAGTAATAATCCACATCTCAGACGGGAATAGCTTGGCACTTGTTTCTTTTGGGAACCATGTGGAACGTAAGTAAGCGCTGAATATCAACGCTGAAAGACTGTGAAGGAGGGGTCTTATTCGGACTGGGGCGGGCTCATTGTTTTTTTCAGGCTGACCCAGGGATAGTGCGGAGCGCAGTCCACGCAGGTCTTCATCTTCCGGTCTCCGATATCGTCTCCAATCTTCACTCTGCGGTAGAGGCAGGTCTCAGGCCTGGTGCACTTGTCACTTGGCATGACGTCTGTCAAGCAGCGAGACTCCTTGTAGGAGTTCACGGGTTTGGGGTTCTTCATGAACTCGATGACCTCCTTGAGGGTGACAATGAAGACTTCGTCCTTGGTCAGGAGCCAGTCGATGAACTTGAGAAATCCCTCCCTCCTCTCTCCTTCCTGGAGCCATCCTTCGTGCAGGAACATGGGGAACGGAGCCCTGTTGTTCTCATAGAACTCCTTGAAGTTAGCCCTGGGTATTAAGAGATGTGGGAAGGATAAATTGGTTTTGGGAACTACGTGGCTTTCGTAACGTCACCGGTGTCCCATGTGCGGTGGGTTCCAAGGTTCCAAGAAGCTTCGCATGCCCTCACTTAGAAGACGGCAAAATCAGGGTAATTGTCTTTACGAATAAAATCACTGTAGTTAGGTGGGGCGAAACAAGGAAACCTAAATATAATTATTTGGTTGAAATTAACATACCTGTGTTAAGTTCATGGATTTTGATATTGACTTAAGTTTACGTAACAGGGTTGATATTGACTTTTACAACGCGCAAGTGTTCTTAAATGCGCCTTTGGCGCGTCGGAATGCAAAGAGGGGCTCGCCAATCAAAAAACAACATAGCTAACGTTTAAAGAAGATGCGATGACAAAGCAGCCAAGCTCGCGCCGTACTTGGTTGAGGTCGGGGGGAAACATATGCACCTGGGCGCTTCTTTTTTTTTTTTTTTTTTTGTAGCAGATGAACTTGCGTACCGTATAAAGGGAGGGGGGATGGATTGACTATATGGACACGTTCGAGTCAGAACTTCAGAGCGAGTATCCCAAATATTGTAAAATAATTTCAAAATTAAATGGAGAACCTACACAAAATAGGATGTAGTATGTGGAACCCGTTTTCCGGGGTGTATGCCAGTACCCTCGCGAACAATGTAGGCTGCAAAACCGAATCCGGCCTTTTACTGCGTCTGCAAACTCCACAACTTTCCGTTATCTCTAGACCATCTGCTTCAAAAACAATTCGCTCTTGAAAGATTTTTTGACGCCCTCAAAAGTCTTTCAGTTCGTTAAGAACTGAAAGTCTAGTGCAGCAGCTTCATACTGCACTAGAAAGGAAACCGGGATATCAAGAAGTATTTCGCATCAAAAAAGGAGCTTGAAAAAACCATTTAGAGGTTTTTAACGAAGAACCCTTTTTGGGAGTGCTAAAAAGAACTGTTTAGGGTGCAAAATATGGACAAGCCGGATAAATCCTAAT